CTTCTCTCTCTCTCTCTCTCTCTCTCTCTCTCTCTCTCTCTCTCTCTCTCGTTCGAATTTCATTTCGTCAATGACAATAAAATTGACAGAAGATCATTTTGTTATTCATTTGTTTTCGAGAAGGGCGTGTAATTTTTAATATTTCACTTTTCAAATTTCACTTCGATAAACAGAATATTTAATTATTCGAATTCGTGGGTGTACAGTGAGATCAATCTTATTTCTACTTGCAGTATACGTTACTTTAAGAAACACGAAAGGAGATAAAATTTATTCCTGTCCGAGCTATGCGCTTCGAAATGTATCGGTATTCTTCTCTGGCCGTACGTTCCTGGCCATTCAGCAGTAAACTTCGAAATGTTCCACGAGAGTAATGATCTGTCTATGGCGTAGGCTTAGAGAGGAGGGCGTGTTTCGCGTGCGAGTTAAAATTTTCTTCGTCCAAAGTGTACATAGGCTTAGAACAGTTTCCAAAGATCGGATCTGTTTAATTTTACGGTACGCTATGTTACGACAAGGAACTCTGAGAAATTGAACTCGCACGAAATATATCGTGACAGTTTCTTCCCTTGTTATCTTATTTCCGACTTATCGAAGAAACTATTATACATCCTAAGCTCTCGAGATACGTTTGTCGAAACTTTAAAATTCCTTCCCGATATTATTTACCTTCTATTTTAATTCCCAATCGAAGTTTCTAATTTTATAATTTCTCGAGTTCATTTATAATTATCGTTTCTCAAAAATGATATTTGGAGGAAGCTCAAAGATGTTAATTAATCACGGAAAAATTATCAAGATATTTAAATTCTGTTCTAGGAGCTCTCTTCTTTATCCTTCTCATCGATACACAAAGGGGTGAATTTTCGCAAGTATCTTTATAAAATTTTCAATTAACCCCACCACGGTTTCATCGGGTTTCGATCGGGGTAAACAGGGACATCTATATCGATTTATAAATTTTAATCTTGATCCGCAATTTTCGTTCGCGATCGGGGATATAAATATTTGAGACGCGGAGATTGCGGGATACGAAATAAAAGAGGCACTTGCCACGAGAGAAACAGAGAAAATATTGTTGCAGAGTCGATGCTTCTCGTTCCGCGAGGCTTTGTTCCGCCGCTTATATAAGAAAGTTAAACAAAAGAGGGCGAGGCGTAAGAAGAAATACGAGGAGGGAGCGTATAATCTATAGGAGGGTGGTTCTTTCCTTCTTCCTCTTCCCGTAATCTCGTAGCAGCTCGGAAACTTTCGTTTCAACACGCATATTTTTCACGACGAATCGACAACTTATATATGATCGAATAATCTTTTCGTATCTGGACACGAATCGAAAAGTTAAATACAACAGCTTTAATCAACCTGTCAACTGGGGGATGGAAACCTTCCGAATCTTTTCTTGCCCCCGTTCTTCTTATTTTCACGATTCTCGATAAATTTCCGGAGACAATCGCGAGGATTCTCTTCGCGTACTTCTTTCTCCACGATGGCCTATTTCGATGCGAATACCCCTCTGGGCTTTATGGATTTCCCAATCAACGTTCTAGCCCGCAGAGAGTTTATATCAATGTCTCGGTCTCTCGTCTAAATATCCACAATCACGATCCTCTTCACGAAGATAGTGCAATAACTTTCTTTTACATCTTCTTACGATTTCGATATTTTCGCATATAAATACTAAATGATTCTCTGTGTATCATTATGCTTTCATTCCTGCATCTGAAAATTTGGATCAAAATCTGAAAATTCGATCGAAATTTTAACTAATATGCAACAATGTTAATTTCGATTTTAGGATCTTTCCTTTTTTGTTGAACTGTATTGGGTTTTCCTGCAGCCACTTTTTCGCGCCCAATATCGAAAATACCCTACGTGCTACGTAAACTATGTAAATCTCCAGGTTTAAATCCCCAGGTCGGTCGTTGTTTTTCGAAGGACATTGGTTCGGGTGCAATAAATAGCCGGCCGTTGTATTCCGGTTTCGTGGCCCGGTCGATTTGCCTTAATTACACCCCCTCTTACCCCTAACGAGAGCATAGACTCGCGAGGCATTCGAGACTAGGAGGCGCAGCGTTATCACATCACCGCTTCGCTTCGATTTAAATTATTCGCCGTCTAATGGCGCTTTTAACGTGGGTTAAAGCTATGCGATAACGATATCCCTGCACGCTATTCCACGCGAGAATTCTACGTGCGTACGGGAACACCTATTTTACACCTTTGTTCCTTTCAAGGGGTCAGGTTGAAAGATTAGAAGTTGATACACGTCGAGTGGTGTATCAAATCTTGTTTGCTCCCTCTGCACTGGAGCTCGTCTACAAAGTTTTGCGAGCAGTTTCGCAAAAAACGGTTTGCCCAGAGAGAGAACAACTATATTTCTTCTTAACTTTTTAACCTGCGCGTTTTTCATATATTTGCAACACCAAGAGCAACAAGAAGCAAAACCGAGCAACGAGGTTGCGCAAATAAAAAGTTTAACAAGTCACCAGACTAATTATAGTTTCAACAATCATTTTCACGAGCCTTTCGTTTAAATAACACCTCTCGAGAAGAAGTACGTGAAGTTTCTAATTACAGTACGAATGAAATTTTCCATAAATCAAGTTCAAGTATCCAATCAATCGGATTAATATTAAATTGGAAACGGTGGTGTGGAAAGAGAGTGAATTTCTTCAACTCGCGGGAAAAATAATATCCGCGATAGATCATTTTTAGATCACTTGGAGATTCGAGTTCGATTCCCTGGAACCCAGCTTTTTCTCCCGCGACAAGTATATATTTCGGGAGGCGAGATATTTCACCGATTTAAGAGGTGTGACTTCGATTTATTCGAGTCGAGAGGCCGGGGATTCTGTTCAGGGGTGAACAACCGTTGGTTTCGTCTCTCTACTTACGCTCTCCTTGGTGTCCACCAAGCGTTGATCGTTCCTCCACCAGGTAACCGTGGCCGGTGGCCTGGAGCCGGAAGTGACGCAGACCAGCTCGTACCTCTTGCCCGCCGACAACGGCTGGTTCGACCCGATTATCCTCACCTCCAACGGCCAGACTGCAAGTGTAGTCGTTTGGAATTGGCGTATTAGTATCAGTGCTCGCGTAACAAGCGTGTTTCACGGCTAAAGAAATAAAGATAACGGATGTATTTCGAGTTAACAGTAATTTAAGAGGGGGAAATATTCGGGTCGGAGTTGATTCGTTGGAAGTGACGGAATATATATATATATATATATGGAGAAGAAGTTGGATGAGAGATGAGTTGGACGAGAATGGGTTTCGACTATTGTGAAAGGGAGGAAAAGTAGAGCGGAACGCGATGTCCGCGAGCGGGGAAGAGGCGTGGGAGGGGGTTGGCTTATCAGATGGAACGAGTAGAATGTTCGAGTAGAATGGAAGTATGTGCTGGAAGGGGATAGTAGAACAGGGGTAGGTGTTGGAAAAGTTGAAAGTGTGGTGCTGGGATGGACAAGTGAAACGGATGCAGAATGGAATTGGTGATTGATAAATATGTTAATTAAATTTTCCGTGAAAATTATTCTCTCCTTAATTTAATTTAATATTTTTAAACGTTTTATTTAGGATGGATATTTTTACGAGTACACAATGGAATCTTAGATAGAGGTAATATTTAAAAATAGGGAAGATTGTTGAAGTAAGATTTGTTTTATACGCTTTTGGTATATATTTATATACGAGACCAACCTTCCTGATCGTTGTTTTTTTTACACGGATTTAATTGTTCGCGTTATCGAGTCATCGATTTTTCTTCCTCCTCGCTGTCCTTCATTATTTTTTCCCAGCTTTGTGCCCAGTTTATTATGCCCCAGATACTTCGTGGATCGTCACGTTAGACACAATCGGTTAACGCAATAATTCATATCACGCATATATTTTTTGAATAATAATGAAAATTGGAATAATTATTTTCGCGTAATTAATTCTTCAAATAAAGTAATTCTTCTACTCGTCAAAGAAAAAGTTACAAAGAAAACTTCACGCGGTGGTATTTATTACAGAATCATTGAATAAACGATGATTTCGAAAACTTTAGTTGACAATTTATTTTTAAAGTCGCGATATTTCACGAAACTACGAAAAGCTATGAACATTTTTCGCGATATTAGCACCTATTTTACGTCGTTGTTATCGATGGATCGAGCCTGTATAGAAAAATCTGTTTCTCAACGAACGATAAGAATTGCACGAATGCGGAAAATATCTTAGTAATCAATCTTCGTTCCATTGTGTCTTCACATAATTGAACCTTAACACTCGTGCCCTGAGAATTAACTATCTCTCTTCCCCTATTTTTTTTCTTCTTTCTTTCTTTCTTTCTTCGCGCGACACTGCGTTATTCGAGACACGTTTGCAGTATCCATCGTGAAAAATTGACGTTGATAAATTTCTTTTATATATAAAACGATACTTCATTGAATAGAAAAATTATTCAGAAAATGGTTTTCGTACACTGTTGAATTTCCGGAGGAGGGATTATTAATTACAATTTTCTTTTCTATTTGTTAAAAGAGAATATTACAATAAACAAAACCAAAAGGAAACAGAATACAAATAAGAAGAGTGGCAACTACGTTACATACATTGCCGCCACGATTAGAAAAGAAATTCGAAGTAAATTTCTATAATTCAAGAATGAAATAAGAAGTCCTTTTGGAAAAAACAGGAAAGAAGAAAATCTATGGTTAATCAAGCGAAAGAACGAAATGTGCGTCCCGCGTTAGAAATTGATTTTTAGCTCGAATGCTGAAACGTTGATATTGTTGGGGCGTAAAAATTATTGTTAATATTCAGTTGAATCATTTGTTTCGATATTGTTACGTCGTTGCTTTGCAAATTGAGCAAAGCTTCGAACCCGACAGAGATCAATTTATGATTTTGCTTTCTTATTAGCATCGAGATTACGGAAAATGACGGTGGATGGCTGGTTTATTTATTCTTTAAGGATGATAGAGTGGCCCCCTTTCGCGATAATTGGCTTCAATCGTTGAAGAGGGTGTGCTTAGTCTTTCATCATTGTGTATTTTATAAATTTGTAGTCGAGGCGGGATGGCATCCATTTTAATCATAAACCCGTTAAACCTTGCGTATTATGCATCGGATGATATTATGATCGGCTGAACGTAATTTATTATTTATTCACAATCTGGGAATAATTTTCTGTCTTCGTTGTAGAAGATAGAAGGCAAAAAAGAAAGCTTCAATGTACGGCGAACGAGGATGCGAGAGTAGAAAATGTATGTACGACGATATAGATTACAGACAAGAATCGATATATGATCGGTGTATTGCTCCGCCAAACAAATAAGAAATATTTTCTGTTTATTTATATTATGAGATCGTTTTATTCGTTTCCTTTCGGTTATTTCTCGTTTGTTTATCCACTTATTTTTTCAATTTATTTCTTTAATTTTAATTTATCGATTTACACACGAGCATACGTAACCGCTTCTCGGTTAGCGAAGATAAAGATATATCCCGATTTTTTTTTTATTGTAAATCGATAATAGTTACCGTGTTTCAATTTTTTTTACTGCTAATAAAAACGCAGCCATATTTCTTTTAAAAACTTCATAAAACGCAAACTATCTCTGAAAATACCATCACGATTTTTGATGAAAAATTCTATTGGAAACTTGGCAATGGGAGGAAAAATCTTTTATTTGCCTCAAGGATGAAAATACTAATTTAGAATTACTCTCAACAATGTTTCTCGCAGATAGAAATTACATTGAGAATCTCAAATGCATTTGCACATCCTGATTCCCATACAAGAAAAAAGGAAGATAATAATAAAAAAAAAAGAGAGCGAAAATTCAAAAAGTTTAGAGGCGACCACAAAACTCTACATTATATAATCACTTTCTTTATTTTTTATCATCGAGGAGGGAAGGAAGCAACGCGCGATCATCCATCAAATCGTTAAAACAGTTGATATCGAAGGTGAAATTTGTTCAATTAACCGTACGAGTTGGACCGACTGATATTTCAAATATTCCATTCCGTCGCCACCAGAGACTAAGGGAGTAGGCTAGGGAATCCCTTCTGAGTTGTGGTCGTGGCTAATTTACATGACTTGCATCGGGCTAATTCGAGAGACGGTCGATAGCCTCGGTTAAAGGGGTTGAAACGATGTTTACTTTATTATGTAATCACGGGGAAATTCAATATTGACGGAGGCACACCGGAAGCTGCTTTAGAAACGCCTTATGGCTCTTTTAAACGCTGCCCTCTTCGTTCCATTTTTATATATATTTATATATATATAGCGTACCGTACGCTTTAAAGCATTATGCAGTATGCAAATGATCGTGGAAATGAACCGTGGAGTAATTTCGATTTTAATATTGTTGTCGAGGGTATATTGCTGTTTATTCTCAGATTGTTATTTCCAAGGCTTATTATTATTATCATCGAAGTATTATTAGTTTAATCGGATTAATCTCGCTACCTTAAGTTTTTCATTCACCGTGAATATTATATATAAAATAGGACGGTGTATTTAATCTCATTTCGCGACTTACACGAGTCTCCACGAATAAATTAATATTTTCCAAGAAAGAACATCTCAACATTAAGAAACTGCTCGAGGGAGCAGTCTGAAATCCTTTAAGAGTCTTTATCGTGCCGGAAAAGAACAACTTCGGAATCCTATAAACGAATGGAGCGGGTTTGTAAACACGAAACGTTCCCTTGCCATGGAAAAAAAACATTTATTAATTACCGATCGTATCTGCCGAATCTCTAACTACCGATAAATATTAAAATTATCTAAAACTCAATAAACTTTATAAATTAAATGATTCCATCGGGCCGAGAAATGCTCGTAGAGAAGGGATCCACCGATTCTGTCCGCAGAAACGAGTGGATCGGCAAAGCGGCGAAATCGAGACGTGTAACGGGCATTGTTCCAGGGAAACGTCGTTGCCATGGCCGATGGTATAAAGGCCGCGCCCCGTCCTCGACAGAGAGACGAGGAAATTTGCTTTACGCAGCGGCCCATATCGCGGCCGACCCCTGACATTTCGCGTTCAACTTTTCCTTTTGTGCCCTCGAGGCCCGTTTCCTGCGACTTTTCCTGCGCCAGCCGACGCGTGCACGCGGGAAACGTGTTGCTTTGTCGATGACAACCCGAGAGAGAGAGAGAGAGAGAGAGAGAGAGAGAGAGAGAATGCTCGTAGTTAATTTTA